TGTAGACAAATAGAGGCTGCTGATGAGTGGTGCCACCACCCTTATCAGATGTATAATTCTGCATATTTCTTGCAGCAGTGTTAGATGCATATGTTGCATTATCACCATCTCTGTAGTTTTCTATTTTATGCATGTTAGATTCTGCAGTATTTCCACGAGTACGAGTTGATTGTTGGAGCTTTTTAGTGTTGAGAAAGCGTCCACCAGCACCTCTTGCTCTATTCACTGCATGTAGATGGCGGGACTCGTGAAGATAAGGCTGCATGGCAACAGTGTTATTAATTTTGTTTAGCAGAAATTATGGAGAAAAAAACACGGACATAGACATGTTTAGTACTTTTCGATCCTTGATGGGTTTGTTTTGTACTTCAAGTTTTGCTCGGTACAGTCTTCTTCTCAGAATAGCATGGTACTGCTTTGAATTCACATATATGGGTTCTTCTTTAATGTCCAGTTGCAGAGGAATTCTAATAGGAGCAGCTTCCACTGGCTGAACATTAGGAATCTCATCAGTGTTTTTCAGAATTGGTCTTCATGCTGCTACAACTTTCATGGTTTTGTTGTGCAAGGTAATTAAACAATTTAGAGTACTAAAACAGTAAGAAACATGACTCTGAAAAGAGGATGCAGAGAAATATAGGTAAAACAGTGAATTTTAGTATCAGGAAAGTTTATCACATCTCATCTCCAATTGTGAAGGCCAACAAGAATATTCTTGTAAAGATTGTATCTTCAATTGTTCAAAAGCTATAATAAAGAAAACCTTGGTGTTCTGGTGTTCAAGATAAGACATAAATTCCCCAGCATAAATTATAATTTTGATAAATAATGCAAAGAGGAAAAAACGAGATGCAAAGGAAAGATGAGGAACTTTTTAAACAGAGATACTATGAGCAATGAGAATATGCCATGCCGGTGAATAATCCGCAGCACAACAAACCTTAAAAATAATTAAACCATGGATTACTGCTGAAAAGAATCTTAAGGTTGTAAGAAATTGGAAAAACAGTGGATATAGTGTTGAACTCTTGAATGTTCCGTTTAGAAGAACCACATTTTGTTATAAACAGGATTTTCCACTGCAACGTTTAACATTCATGTGAAATTTTGTTTGATCAGAATGCAGTCCAAATTAAAGGGAGCCTGCATACCACGTTAATAGTAATGAAAATACATGAATAATGTGTACTGAAGTACTAATTACCATAGACTGTGGAACATATGAAGAAGCCATAAGGTTGCTATAGCCTGGATCAGCATAGTGAGCCTGAAACACAAATTTTAGGAAAACATATGCATATATCTTCCATCCAGAAGAACTTGAGAATATATCTACTTACAAGTGTTTGGCTGTGATCCAGTAGTGGAGGAGGGAAGGTGAAATCATGATTCTGCATAAATGACCTGTGCTGAGGTGTTGAACCAGTAGAACTATGCTGAACAGACATTTCACCTATCATCCAAAGCAGAGAAAATACTCATCAATATGGTATATGAAGTAGCATGCCAGGGAATTTGACAAGAATTTTCTGATGCGGAATAAGATATCTAAGACAATTTCCAACTTTGGAAGAAAATCTTATATCATATGTGTGAATGAAACTTTTATCCAATAGCCAATGCTGAGTGAGGATTTAATGCAACATAGGATCACATCACATCACTGTCATATACCTGTAGTGCTCCATTGTTTCTATTGCGAAACAGTGTACTGCTACAGTTTCACGGCCAGAAATACATACCGCAATAGCAGAAAGAAATGACAGAACCCCAGTTGATAAGTACACAAGTATTCAGAATTGTACAAAAAGACAGGGTTTAAATCCAATTACCGGATTGTGCTGAACCAAGTCTGGTAGAAGATTGACCCGAATGATTCGAAGATGAATCCTGTTCTTGGAATTGAAAGCTCAACGTTTTGCTCCTGTGGCATTGTTGTGGCAGAAAATCCACTTTTAAGCTCAAACTTCTGGATTCTGAAGTCCCCCATGATGAACAATTCATTGTTTTCTGACCTCTTGGAACATTAATCCACTTGACTTCATAGAGAAAACAAAGAGATAAATAGAACTGAGAAAATAAGCCTATAAACTCCTCTTGAGAGTTCCAAATAAAGTAAGTATATCAAACTCCAATGAAACATGCCAATTTTACAGCTCCCTATAAACCCTGTGAGCATCTGTGGTTCAGAATATACACTCTAGCTTGTGGATTGGGAAAAGAGATTGTGGAAGAAAACCCCATAAAAGGTAATCAGAGGAACAATTTTAGCAGTTCAACTCTTGGATCAACTTATCCTTCGTCAACCATGATATCTAAATTGCCTTACAGAAAACAACAAGCAGCTTTACTAGACATAGAGAAAATGATCTGTGCTGAAGAACTATTTGTACTCTCCAATTCAATCAACAACAGCTACAACTTACAAACCTATCACCTCAAGCAAACATAAGATTCCAATTTTTGGAGTGCATGAACAAAAGACAATTTATCAACCACCTAGTCTCCTGCAAAACTAAGAAAATCCACTATCTATCTAAGATTTGTTCCATCATCCTAAGCTTCAAGAACGACCCTTTCACTGATTCAAGGCATGTCATGAAATTACAAATTAAAGAAGAAAGAAAGCAAAGATAAGTTGAAAAGGAAAAAACAAGAGAGAGAGACATTGGAAATTGGCTGAATTGGAGAGGAATCAGAAGGTGTGCATGTCTTGTGGGTTGAAAGTTTGTAAGCTAAGAAGAGACTCTGAGTCACACATCACACTTGAATGAGTGCATCATTGTTTTAGTCTTTTTGGTCTCTTGGCTTTGGTGCTAAGAAATTCTTGACCCTTAAAAGTGGCTTCTACTGAGTCTTATAAACAGTGACTGTTGCATTAACACACACCAACTACACTCATCTGTTACCTGCCCAACTTACCATGTTAAAGAGAAAATAAGAAAGACAACATTTTTCAAAATGAGAATCTAAGTTTCAAAATATCTTTGAATTAAAAATGATTTATGGTGATGCATTCCATTCTTGTCGTTTTGCTGTCCCTACTGATATTCCTTGTTGTCTGGTTTTAAAAAAATGAAATAAGAATTTTGTAATGGGGCATGGCATCGCACTCTTTCATCATCATGCTTCCTCCTGCTATCATATGCTTTTCTTATTACATCTTCAATGCCTCCAATTTTTCAACCTCAGTTCTGTGCTGCCAAACCCCATTAATGTACTTTTTTTTATCATTTCTTCTGCTTATTTAATTCTTGCAAGTTAATAATTACACAGCTTGATTTGTATTAAATCTGCAGAAGACAACTATTTTCTTTCGTTAACTCACCAAAAGAAGAGCACTGTTATTTCAGTATTACATTCAAAAACCTCAAATGTGAGGGCCAAGAGAGATAGAAAAAAAAAGAGAAGAATGTCATTGTACAAATGATTATGTGAGTTGTTGTATGAATAATTTCTTATATTATTAATTAATTAATTAAAAATCATACAATTAATTTTTTTTAATGTGATTAGGGTAATAAGTTTGTAATTAGAATATAATGTTAAAATTGGTTACACTTTTAGTTTATTTAAATTAAATTCATAAGGTAATGTTAATATCAATTTGATTTAAATGTACTTAGCTTGAAAAAGCTTTTATTATATTAATTAATTACTCTAAATGTTGTAGACAACATTTTGATTTAATGGACTAATAGTGTAAAATAAATTTACGAATATTCGTGCAAATTAAATCTAATAATAACAATAACAATAATAATAATAAAATATTTATAATAGTTTTTAAACACCTTAGAATGGCAGTATCTGATTGAAAAGGAAAATATTTACTATATTTATGTTTTAATCTAAAAAATTGTTGTTTCCTTTTTAATTAAATTTTATAATATTTAATTTATTAACAATCATTTTATAGAATGGTATCAACAAAATCATAGTGTTCCCATAAAAAAAGAAAAACAAGCATAATGATAATGATGTAAGATTCTGAGTATGAATTCAAAGAAGTTGATAATAATTGAACAAAGATATATCCAACATAATAGTTAGTATTTATTTATTTGCTAAATTTATTGTTTTGAAAAATTTACACTTATTATCTATAAAAAAATATATTAGACGTAATTCTGTTTTTCAAAAAGAAAGAAAGTGTTCTCAGTTAATTACCATGTAAGGAACTAAAGACGAGTAGGAAATAAAATAGGTTAATTTATTTTTGAGAATTTATAAGTAAACCTTATATTATTTAAATAATAAAGTATATATTTGATCCTATTTTTCACCGTATATTTTATTTTAGGTTAATATATTAAAATTGGGTATTGTACAAAGTAATTTTTTTTATATATAATTCAAATTCAAATCCATAAAAATATATGCTTTGAAATAAATTATATTTTTTAACTTGCATTAAATAATGTAAACTGTAATGTTTTTTTTCAAACAAATATTAAACCTTAATTTAAAAATCTATTAGCTATTATATTATAGCACTAAAATATAGTTTATATTCTTTAAAACATTTATTTACAGCAAGTTTAAATTGTCCATAAACATTCTTCAAAGTGGATTCGGAAACATGTCATTAAATGAGACTGAGCTTAACAAAAAGCAGAGTTTATTTTCGAACACAGTTCCTTTATATTATTTGTTAAGAACTAAAGGTTTGCTTTATCCAAAAATTGAAATTACTATTATACAATTCGGACTTGTATTCTTGGAGAAAAAAATTGCGTTACATGGCTCTTTGAATATATCAGTTTACCAATTCTACCTCATACTCTTGTTAGAAATTTATATCAACTAAGTCAAATTTAAAATACATAAATGAAGTCAAATTTAAAATATATAAATGAGTACATAAATGAAGTCAAATTTAAAATATATAAATGAGTACGTAGATTTTGAAATTAAATTAAACTTAAAATCTACTTAACAACATTCCTTAAGTTAAGTTTTACTTCTTTTTTCTGCAAAACTAAGCTTCAACTAACATTAGTACAGTGACCATCTTTCAGTGATTTATTTAGCCTTGATTATCTGGTTTGTAAGGTACATTAACGTTAAAAATGGCACTGAGTATAAAATTCGTTTACCAGTCAATAAACTACCATTACAACAACTAAATGGTAGCAGATGGGTCCGAGTGTCAGATAAACGAGCAGTTGAGGTTAAAAGAAGTAAACTTTGAATTTAAAGAGGGAAAAAAAAGGATGGGAAAGGTCAATCTGAGATAATCTATTACACAACCAAAGCCTGATAAACCCCAAAAGATGTATATGCATGGGTTAAAACAAGGTCATAAAATTATCTCCCAGAATTAGCAAACTTGGCAAACAACATAACATATGCCTTTAGAGATTTCGCATCAGCTGCAGATATCCTCGTTTAAAACTTTTCAGGACAACCACTTTGTTTATTCTTTTCAAGCAAGGATTTGACTTGCCAACAAGAATGCTAATAGCCAAGTCGTCAATAGTCCCGTCCCTTGTATGGCATTTCCTGTAAATATTGATTTCAGAAGATCGAGTTCTCAGAACATTAATAAGCAGTTAAAGTTCCTCAAAAGTGTATATGTAGGACTACAGATAAGATTGCTCAAATTCAGATTGATATGTTCCACCAAAGAAGAAATATCCAACAAGCATGACACATCAACGTGGAGCATTAACCATGTAGTAAGTTATTGAAATAGATGGTTTTATATTTTATCTGCCCAGTGTTCAAGACATGAGCAATATCAATTAAATACGAATTTAAAAAAAAAATAAATAAATTAAGCACGAGAGTTCTTACGGGCAGGTAACCCGGCATATATATAGCTTGCCTAGGATGACCAAGGAGCTGTCCATACTGAAATCAGATTATAATAAGCAATTGCCCTGAAGCACCAATATTTAAGAAAACAGTCAACAGAGGGATAATGCATGTGATGTTATACCTGTGGTGCATTCGGATGAAAATATGCTTGAGACGGCATTGGTGCTACCTGAGGATTATACACCATAGGTTGTGGACCAGCAAAAGTAGGTCCAATCTGCAAGACATGTGCAAAACAATCATGTTTATTAACAGAACGAAGGCTGGGAGGCCATTATTAAGCCAAACCCAACAATTCTGCATAACTTCTTTGGCAAACTATTCTACGAAATCAACAAAATGAGAACTTTATCCTTATATGGATTAAGTAACAATCAGAAATTTAAAAGACCATAAGATTGGACAACCAAACTGATAATTATAACCTGCACTAACGTGCGACATGGATATGTGGAACAACCAGGTCCATTTGTCATAAAATCACAAACCTTTTATAGAAGTAAATCCACTCCCTAATTATGCATTTTTATGTATTCAATAAATGCACCAAATGACTTACTCCAATACCCATGGGCATGCCTGGCATACTTGGTACAGTAGTTACATTAGTTGGAAAATAGAAGGAACCATCGGACGGTGGAGTGGGAGGCCGAGCAGGTGATGGAATAAAACTCTTTGCATTAGGGTTAAGCTTGAATTCCTTACAACATGAAAGGGGAAACTCAGACATAAGACAGTAACATAAAAGACTAGAACCAGACAGCGGGAAAAAAAATTCCAGTCAAAAAGTTTTGGGCTTGAACTTCCATACCTTTGCATTGGGATTCAGAGTTGATTTTTCAGAAGACAGTGAACCAACTGATGAACTTGGAGATAAGCCAGGACCAGAAGATGCTACAGGGACTCCAACTGAATCTGACACATATGGGGTCCCACGTGAATTTACCGATTTTGTTTCCCCATTAACCTTGCCAGTTGCTGAACCCTCAATTAAATCTCCATGTGATCCCATCTTTTCATGAGCTTTTAATGAAGTATGAATTGAAGGGGCATAGGAGCTAGCATTCGGAGATAATACCCCTTTATCAGTGCCATCCTTCTTCAAGTAGAGTGCTCCCTGTGAATCTGCGCCAAAAACTGCCAAGATTAGAGGAATGAATACATGTATTATGAAAGAAGCAGCCACCAAATTGAAATGTAGGTTATAGCTGCCATTCAGAAGCCCTTATGAAGAGTACTAACAGAAAGCTTCAGCACTTCCTTTACAAAAGACAGAATAATCAATAATATGAAAATGGTTGCTTCATTTGCATCATTTCATGCACATCTTAAATCCACTCAATTTAAGAAAGCTAAGAAAAGGATTTCACAGACCCTCAGATTTTGACAGTTGAACATCCTCAGCTTGCTGCATCAATTGAAGAAAAATAGAGAGACTTGGAGTGTTAGAACTAATATCTGTCTCATTAGATATTTTCCTAGACACAAGTTTAAGAGATAATGCACAAACTTCAACTCACAATCACACTTGCTTCCTTAGTATCATTGTCTCCATGTTGATTACTAATTGAGTTCTCCAGAATCCTGTAGAAATTGCATATTAAAAATCATGATAACGAAGAATTTAATTCTTTTTCAAGTTCAAAAATGATGTATACAAAACAGAATAAAAAGAATAATTATATACAGAAGAGAAAGGGGCAACAAACACCTGCTTTCCCCATCCACCGATGAATAGCTTATGGCAGGGAGTTCAGATGCTAACTGCTTAGCATGATCATAAGAACCAGAGCGGCTTAAATCCACACTAGTACTTGACTGAGATGATTGCGTGTGATCCTGCACACATAATTAACAAGTACTAAGGAGAGTTTAGAAAGTAAAATAATTACTTCATAAGAGGAGGGAGAGACAAGGACAAAAACTTCAAAAATGGAATAGTTTCATATCAACGTTTTTCCCCAACAAGACTCAGCTGCATCAATCAGAGGTTCATGTTGTACCAATTTCGAAATCATAACAAGACTCGGGATTGTTAGGACATGTTCAAACAGAACTTAGTGCCGAATGTGTCCTTTAAAATAATAGTCATGTACCAGAATTTTCACTAATATTTTCTAATCAAGTAGGAGGCAACAAGCCATTGTCTTGAACACATGTTGGGTTCAGCTCATTTTAAAGAAATAATCATTTATTTTTTAAACATTTTGAGAGAGCTTCTACTCAAATCAACAATTACTTTTACAGAATTGCATAACCAAAGATTTTCGGAATGCAAGAAAATCTAAAAGAAACCATTTACTTAAAATAAGGTACACACATAAAATATGGTAGTTCTAACAATTTACACCTGGGATCTTATTTAGCCTTACAAAATTGACTTCTATGGTGACAACAACCAAACTCTTAACATTGGTCATATCTATAATCTAAGTTGAAAATAAGACTTATTTTATTATTCTCAATCATGAAAAATACATTCTCATACCCTCTATTTGTAATAATCTAATTCTCCTAAAAAGAGAAATAAGGAAACTAGGAAAACTAGGAAAATAAAATAAAATAAAAGATTATGTATCTATTTTCTCTAATTAGGAAAATTCTAAAGATATTATCTCAAATTACAACAATCTATATGAAAACTTAACAGTAGTATTTAATCAGACAAAAAAAAGGACAAGCCAGTAAATGTGACAATGACAAACGATTAAGAATTACTTAATAGTACAGTTTCAATAATTAAATAACAATTCAGGTGATAATACCACAGAGGAATTTACCAATGTTCGAGCTCCATCATTTCCTTTTCCACCAGTTATTTCACTAGACCTCTTAACAACCGAACCAAATACACCACCAAAAGTATCAGAACTGTGGGTTTCAAACAGTACATCCTCATCAAATCCACTGTCATCAGCACGTTTGCCCCTATAAACTGAAGAGAATCTAGTTTCTTCATCAATATCAAAGTCTTCATGCAAGTGAAAGCCTCTTTCCTGTTAAGAAAATTTATGTAGGTTGTTCAATTCAATTAGTCAATTAAACAAAAAACAGCAGAAATTCACAAGCAGCAATGAAAATAAAGAACGATAAGTATTGAAACCATGCTAACCTCCGCAAGATGAAGATCTTGGGTTTCCTCACCCTCAATTTCTCTTGCTATTCTTAAAGCTTGTTTTTCCAATTCTCTTGTCTGAGGCCCTTTTTCAAGCTTTGTTGTATAAAGTTCCTCATTGAATGTGCTTTTCACACCAAACAATGCCTCATTTGTTTCAAATTGATCCCATCCTCTTAAAAAATACAAAAAAACAAAAATACCAATGTAAACAAAAATAGGCATTCTGTGAAAATTTTGAAATTAGTGAATTAAAGATAAAAATACATGTGTATAAAATAATCATGGTATTTTAGTTAATTTCCTACACTCACTCCAGCCTCTTTTAATCATTAAGGATATACCACAAAAAATCCTATTTCCTTTTGCTACATCAAGAACATAGTCTCAATTAATTGTGTGCCAATGATCTTTTAATAATTCCTTTACAACATTTGTTAGCTTCCATAAATGACTATGGAATGAAAGCTCAAAACTAACTTGAAGCAACACAAGAAAACAAATAGAATACCTATAAACCCTCAATCTTTATTAAAATCAAATTCATAACAAAGGGTTTAGATTATTATAGAAAGCAAGGTGAATTGACCCTAACCAGAAATATGGTTCCAGAAGTCATCCAGAAATTAAGGAAGTACATGTCTATACCTCTAAGGAGGTTTTATTTCGTCTCTGGTTTTTATTCTTTCGACATACCAAATATGAAGTGTTCATAATAAAAAGGAGAAGTGTTGTCAATGAAATTTGGAGAAATATATTATTCTACAATCCATTACTTACAGCTCGACACTTCTAAAGAAATTTCTTATTGTATACTGAAAAAGTGGTGTACTAATGAAGGCAACTGACAGTCCGAATGGGAGTCAAAGTGTCAAGAAAAACTAATATTTATTGTGTTCACAAAATTATTTTATAAAAAGTGAGCAACCTATTCCAATGGCCATCAAATATGTTTTCCAGTTCTGGGCATTGTGGATCATCTTCATCAGGTACCCAGGGTTTTAATTCTCTCCCTAGCTCAACATGACGAGATTGAGATATCAATGAATCAACCATGATTTCCTGATGCATATCCTGGTGAGATTCATTAGGTAAACCATCCCTGGCAATAGCAACATCCTGCCATGATTGAAACACGAATGGTATTATCAGCAAAGAAGTCAACAATGTGTTAAAAGCTACTTCTACTAATCTAAATTCTCCAAAAGTATACAGCATTCCAACAAAAACCTTAGCTTAGTAACTACCATATTCCAAAATACATTCCAAATAGTTGAAAAGTAGGAAACCTGTGCTATAACTTGGACAAGGTCTTTGGCAGGTATAATTAAAATCTTCATAGGGGGCTTGCTGACGAATTCTGCACCAGATTTCTGTCCTCGTGACAAACCATCTTTTGTTAAGCGAGCCATTTTCAAAACGATTCCTACAATATGATCATTTTATAAAATTAATTATGAAAACAGCAGCAGAAGATTATTTAGATAGTGGTCTAGAACAAGCCTAGTGAAATCCCAGTTGAGCAATAACTCCCAAAACAAAGTTTTATTAAAATAAGACAAATCCAAACAGAAATAACAAAATATTCTAAAAAGCATAATTTCCCTAAATATCATGCTTATCCCTTTTGCTACAGGGCGCTGTGAAACAATATAAGATAATAGTATTCACAATACAGCCAAAATCAATAAAATTGGGGAGAAATGTGTTTTTAATCCCTATACATTAAGTAAAAATTGGTTTTTGTCCTTATACTTCTAAATTGATGAAATCAATCCTTCAACTACTTAAAATATGTGATTTTTGTACCTCCAATATGTGACAGATTTCATCAATTTGAAATTATAAATATTAAGACCAAGTTTAAGTGAAAGTAGAGACTAAAACACATTTTTCCAAGAAAAAATACAACAGAACATACCAAAATCTTTTTCTGTGTTTGTCGCATGAAAGATTCCAGTGTACGTGGATCCATTTTTCAAGTGGACTTCCACCTGGTGCCCAATAAGACATGTTGTTACATATACTAATCGATCATGTGAAGGATTATCGTAATTGCCACCTTTACTGCCAGTCACTGCACCTTTGACAACAACAAAAAAAAACGATCAGCATTCTGAATGCAGCAACAAATAAATAATAATACATTACACAGATCCGAATTTTACCTGTATTTGTTAATCTGCTGGTATTTAATTTGCCAGACGGGATTTTATTCTCAGATTTAATTGTCCCTTCTCTTTCAGATTTCCGGCGGCTGTATCCATTGGAGGACTTGGGCTGCCCAGGTTGTTGTAGATTCATCCTCACTTACAGCCCCTGCCCCTCTAATCTGGGAAAAAATAAATATATATTCGTAAGACCAAAAAGAAAACCCAAAGGGCTTACATAAGATTTCAAGGCAAAATTTATGAATCCAGCTGATTTCCCAAAAGAACATTACAGTAGAGGAACTGCTGCTGATGGTAATAGCACTATAGTTATGCCAAGTTCACAAAGCTATTTGGTGGCCATTGGATAAATCATGAAAATACAAATTTTAAAGTGATTAAATGTAATGAACAAGACTATTTCTAAAATATAATGCAACTAGGACAGCAATTTCTCTGGCTATTATAGTTGAATTATGCATCGTTCAAAATGAACACACCTCTAACAATGCATATGCAAGTTGATAAAATAAAATCAACATTTCAAAGATAATTTTGTAGGCAAATTTTGAAACATTAAACCTATTTTTTGGTGAATAACTAAAAATTGTTCATATGGTGACCACGAACATGGTATGGGTACGGTATAAAAGTTCACGGTATATATGTTAAAGAATAAACAGAAAAAAAATCTGACACACTGGAAAAGTATACATCTCCGTACAATTGACTGTAATTGTAATCATAAAATAATATTCAAAGGGACGTAAACTACACTGTTAAAAAAAATACAATTACTCGTAATAAATTTGTAGCGTCAATTGGTTAAAAGAAAACATAAAAAATTCCAGGCTCGAGGTTGACGGGAAAACAATTCCCGTAACTGCTATTTCCAAGAGGCATTTAAAGAGCATTATACATTATACATACTATAAAAACAAAGAAATTACCCGCATAACAGCAAACAAGAAACACGTGGTTTGGGGCGAATTTTTACCCAGTTACCTCTCATTCTTCCCTGGCCCCCTCTTCCCCGTTCCAATCACAACCAAAGTACTAAAATTAGTCTACCCTCACTCCTGTTGGTGTAATCCTTCATACCAAGGACCCTTCATAAATCAGAAACACACATTGGCAAAGATTATATGAGCACTTGCAGATTATGAACGTCCATAACTCCGATCCGAACTCCCGAAGCATAAGAATTATTTGGCATCCACTCCCTACATTGCGAACTTACTTGAAGTTCTTTTTCTTTCGGAAATACAACATTTACCGAAATTTCCAGTATTCCAAACCCTAGAAGAAAGAGAAAAATCAGGACTGAAGTCCCACGATGTTATTCTAGGCCATATGGAAACTTGCCCTAAAGTACAATGATTGACAGTTGAAGTTAGAACTCGAGATTCGTGCGGCGTAAACTATCCCCAGTCCTGTTTACAGTTCCCAGGTGGGGATAAATCTAGCAGGTGTGGTCCTACTTGGGAAACTGCGGTTTCTCCTAAGGTGGAAACCCTAATTTACGAGCTGTTTTAAGAGGATCCAGGCATGCATAGAAATAAATAGCAAGCATATAAGTATTGGAAAGAGAAACGGAAGAGGAAGAAGGCAAGAAAGGAATTGAAAACGAAGTAACGCACCTGCGAGAGGTTGATCAGAACCAAACTAACGGATTCCGGCAGAGGTTGAAAAGAGGAGCTAAAGAGGGAAGTTTGTGTCGGTTAGGGATTGATTGCGGCGATTGAGGAGCTGCTTCGGTGGGAGGGCGTCGTAGCCGGACGAGGCGACGGAGAGAGAGAGACGGCGGAGGAGTTCGGTTTGGTTTGGTTCTCTCGGCGTGATCGGGAGAGAGAGAGAGAGTGAGTGGTTTTTGAGATTTTGAAGGGAGGTGCGAAGCGAGAGACGAAGCAGAAACACCCAAAAGACAATCAAGAAATGATCTGCTGTGGTTGGGAGTATCGTGCGCCTCTTTCTTGTATTGTATGGTTTAGTTACATGTATTTTTGTCCGTATAACAGTTCTTCTGTCTTCCAAAAACTTATTCACGGTATCTAATCTCAAAGATACGATTAAAAACATCTCGTATTACTGTGATTTACGTACTGTCTAATATATTTAATAATATTTTTCACATAGATATTCAATGCATCCATGCATGCAAAAGACAAGCATTTGATTTACGGAAACTAATAAAACTAGTTAAACACTATTAGTTTCTCTTAAAAAATTGTTAATTTTAATCATTAATAATGTTATAATCTTACAGATTAAATAGTTTAAGTGGTAGTTATACTTAACAGCCATATATATAATTTAGTAAATCATTTTCCAACAAATAATAATGATTTATAACTTTAATTGTCTAATTAATACATTCATTCTCACGACAAACCGGTAAGAATCTCATTCACATTATTCCCAGTAAACTAATATAATAATTACCAATTCCTATTACAATGATTGTATATTCTTTCGTTTGAAGAAAATGTATTCTTTTATATATATATATATATATATATATATATATATGTGTGTGTGTGTGTGTGTCTTTGAATTCTTTCAAGTAGTGTTTGAATTAGAAAATAGATGAAATGAAAAGTAAGTAAAAGAATTTGAAAAGATAAAAAAATGATTTAGTATTATTTGAATTAAAGAATTTGAATAAATGAATGAAATGATTTAGAAGAAAAATTTCTGAGTTTGTAAATGATAAAATAAATGTAATAGATTAAAAATATTTTAATCGATAAAAAAATGTGATTTTCAATTTGACCTTTATTGAAATTGGATATAAGTTTAAATTTAAGTAATGAAAATTACATTGAAATTGTTATTAATAAAAAAAAAAAAATTACAAAAATAAAAGTACGTTCTCCAACTCTCAGAAGAAAAGGTCGTCAAGTTTGACAAAAGAGAAACTAATTGACAAAGGTACTTGAAAATAATACTTCCATTATTTAACAAAATGAATAAATATCCAAAATCGTAAACAATTTCCTTATTAAAAATTTTATGCAAAGTACATGTAATAAAAATCCAAAACAAAAACCCAGATACAAGTTTCCTGCTCCTTACTGGTGTGCATCTGACTTTTTTCAGCAATATCAACTTCTCGTCCATAACTCAAGTTGTAGGTGAAAATCACAGCCAAAAACAATGTAAGAGTGGGCTAATGTAAAAAGAATAGGTAATTAAATATTTAAGGATATTATCAATCCAACAATTCACACAAATATAGCATAACTCACCCATGCTTTACATCTCTACTCATTCATTTTAGTGGCTCCTCGTACCGTTTACAATGTCAAAAATTTCATAAATAGGTTAACCCTTGTGTACTATGTGCTTTACCCGTAACATTTCGTTCACTCTGCCTGTTCTATCAAAGTCTTATAGTCAGAGTCATTTTGCCTGTTCAACAAAGTCTTCCTGTCAAAGTTATCCTACTTGCTCAACGAAGCCATACGGTCAGGACTAATTTTCTTGGCTTTCCAAACCTTACGAGTAAAAACTCCGCCTGCTCATCTAAGCCTTACCGTCAGAGCATTATACTAAGCTCTAGCCAAACCATAACAAGAATCAAACCGGATTTACAGTTAGGGCAAGTACACACTCCTCAATTCAAAACACTGCACCCATACAAAGATTTTACTAGCATAAACCAGCCAAGTACACTGCTCACTAACGAGTTAAACCAAGTAACACAGCCCACTGGCTATGCGGCTAGACACTGATCAATCTAGCAATACTTTGCCTAATCTGAATATTTAGGTACTTAAGTCTGTTCAGCCACCGTCCAAAGTCAGCACCAATCTGCTCATAACCCTTTCTCCCCCCAATGTGCTTTAATCAGGAATGAAGAAGTCCCCGGCCACCAACGCTAAACCAGTTTATTCTGGTATACTCTATGTGAAAACCGTGACTCAAGGTTGACTGTATTTGGCCTAAAGATACAGTTTGCTGTGTGTATTTCTGGTGCAGTATAAATGCCACGTTCCTAGCCTATACACCAAGAGTTCAAATATACTTTACCACTTGGCTAACCATTAGCCCACCCAAAAGAAGCATACCAAGCCGTGACAGACTAGAACATCTCTGCAGAAGATGTGTATTTCTGTTTGGATCACTGCACCACCCGCCAGCCACAACTGCTTGAATTTCTCCTCTCACGTTAATTAATTGGTTGGAGTAACCATAATCAGCAATCATGCATCAAAAAGTTATACTACATTATACAGTAAGATAACATAATAGATCACAACTGTGGTTTTTGATGGTTGTTTAAATGCACACTATGCAAAGAGATATATTCTCTAAAAAGGGATTTCTAACAGGATAATAGTGGTGCAAAAGACAAGTGTTTTCTGACAAAAAAAAATGAAAATCACGATTACCATTACCTACTGCAATGTACCAGAAGAGGGAAATGGACCAAGAAATACTACCCCTCGGCATCTTGGCTACAGAATGAAAATTAATTCAAATAACTTGTATTGGTGCAAAGGCCAGAGTAAGCTGGCTCACCGTTAGAAGAAAACTGGCAAATATATACACAAGGAAGTATGGTAAGGCATCTCCTTCAGCTAGATACGTGTCCCAAAGACGTGTGACCAAATGGAAGGGTACCTAATTGCATAAATCACAAATCAGAGTCAACAAAATCATAAAATTCTGCCTATTTTTCTGTAGTTCATAATTTCTCTACTGACTGATTGTACAAGTTCTTGAGGTTTGATATAAAGCCAATTTATAAAACATGCATGCACTTCTTCTTGGGAAAAGACTATTGCACTCCGTGAGAAAAAAAAGAGTGTTGGAAGCAAACTTCTCGAATTAGAAGACAGATGAACCAGCGGAAAGCAAATTGAAGAAATTCCAGTCCTTGCTCCTCCATAGGGCTTGAAACAGGATCTGGTGGAACTCAAAATTCAGTATCAGATTCAATTTGAGATATTCTAACCATAATATACTCCCACATTTCAAATGTCAGTTATCTTTTAAAAGAAATTTTGTTTCATTTCATTAGTCGGTTCAAAAAACCAAGTCATTATTTACTCATTTTGCTTTATTTTTCAATTTTATTCTTATTTTCTCTCAGTATAGCCGCAAAGTGAAAAAAGAGAGAGCATTACCACCATAATTCATATTCCACCAGTTCCATCCCTCTCCCATAACACTCCATTACCACCATAATTTATGTTCATATGACATCCTTAAATTGTGTTTAGGTTATAAGACTTAATACAGTACATAGGATGAAGTTTCCACGGTTTCTGTGTAATTTTTTGTTTTCTAACTATGTAGTTTTCATGTGATTGTTGAGGAGTAACCTCATCTATAACTTATCTACCTCCACCCAACTCCATCCTGCAGGTTTTCTCATTGTCCTTTGTTGCATAAGCCTTCTGACTTCAGCTACTTCATTCCATAAACCCTTTCTTGCATAGGCATGTGCTAATGTTAAATATGGTGCTGCATTACTTGGTTCCATCTTGATAAGTTGATCAGCAGCCTCCCTCCCAAGTTTTACATTTCCATATATCTTGCAAGAACTCAAGAAAGAGCTCCAAATTACATAATTAGGATCATAGGGCATTTTTTGCATTACATCCCTTGCCTTACTCAAATTCCCTTTTCTAGCATAGAGATCAATCAAGCAAGCGTATTGATCAATATCAGGAGACAAGCCATAATTTGTTGTCATTTTTTTAAAGTATTCCACCCCTTTGTCAAGCAATCCTGCATGATTACAAGCTGTTAATACAGCAGTAAAGCAGATATGATCAGGAACTAACTCTTGCTTGGTCAGTAGACAATCAAAAAGTTCCAAAGCCTCTGAACTTCTCCCACATTGAGCATAACCCATGATCATGGATGTCCACAACACATTATTCTTCTCAGAAGTCTGATCTAACACGCGTTGAGCCTCGTCAATATCGCCACCTTTTGAATACATATCAATCAAAGCACTGGCCACAAACACATTCCTTTCCGAACCCATTTTAATAACTATAGAGTGCACTTGCCTTCCTTGAAGTAGTAATGCAAGGCTGCTACAAGCATTTAAAATCGTGCATAAAGTATGATCAGTAATACCCAAATTTTGCCCCCTCATTTCTACAAACAGTTTCAATGCATTTTCGCTTTACATGTTTTTAGAATATCCAGAGATCATTGAATTGTACATAACAATATCCTTCTCACTAGTTTCAGCTAATAAGAGTACTGCATCATCAATTTGTCCCTGATTTGCATAACATTCAATCAATGAGCTGACCACAAAATTGTTAGTATCACATCCCTGCTTGATGATATGAGTATGAAGTGCGGAGCAATGTTGAAGGCCACCATTTTGCCCAACATAGGCACTAATGACACTAACAAAGGTAAGACAATTGGGCTTAATTTGGGTGTATAGCATCTCTTTGAACAACAAGAATGCATCTATTCCTTGTCCATTGATCGATAATCCCGTAATTAGTGAAGTCCATGAAACCTGATCATGTGTTCTGATGCCACTAAATACCTTCTTTGCATCCAGAATAGCAAAACATTTGGCATAGAAATCAATAAGTGCACTGCAGAGGAACAAATTATCTTCATATCCAGATCGAATCATGAAAGCATGGATTTGTATACCCAAACGCCAATTCCGGGTTTTTCCACAAGAACTAAGTGCAGTACAAAGAACATATTTTATTGGCTTCCTTGTTGATCCATTCACTGTGCTTATTAATGACTCCAGTGCTCCATAGATGCTAGCAGTTTTAAAACACGGTTTGCCAAAGAATCTGCGCGTGAAACCATGAACAAAAGAGCTTGAACAATGCACCATATTACAGGGCTTGTGTCAAATAAATCTTGCATATTACCCAATTGAACCCTTAACATTAAATGGAAAAATCCAACTAAGCTGGCCTTTTTCACCCCTGTTTCTTTCAGACCTCGCTGATCCATTCATTGTGCTTAGTGACTCAAGTGCTCCATAAATAGGTATTGGAAAGAAAAAAGGAAGGAGGAAGAAGGCAAGGATGGAATTGAAAACGAAGTAACTCACCTGCGAGATGTCAGAACCTAACTGACGGATTCGGGCAGAGGTTGAAAAGGAAGCTAAAGAGGGGAAGTTTGTGTAGGTTATGGATTGATTTTGGCAATTGAGGGGCTGCTTCGGTGGGAGGGCGCGTTGGCCGGACGAGGCGACGGAGAGAGAGAGATTTTCAACAAAAGTAACTTAAACTTTATACACCCAAACGGTAGAATTACCAGTCGTTTTATCCATATGAAATTTCTAAAGTGTTATCAGCAATAATGATGATATCAATGACTTTTATTTTTGGTAATAAATAAATAATATAAGTAGTCAAACCCGCCAAAATAATTTACCATTTTCAACATATAATCTAGATGATTCAGATATAAATCTCATGTACCTGTTTTATAGATAAAAATATATTTTCAAGTTATATATGATTTAGTCAAGGCCAATAATACAAGAAATAAAGGGTAGTTTAATGTTCATGCACCTTAAGCCATTCACGCCTTCTTCTTAGACGGATCAATCTCTTAGTTTCTTTTCTTTTATTTGGATCTCACATAAATGCTTTCATCCTTCTCTTTTACTTTAGCAAATCAAACCAAAGAAACATAAAGTTCCAATTTTTCGGTTGCCCTCCTTCTCCATCCTATCAAACCAAACGCACCATTGTCAAAATTTGAGTGATAAATAAATAAAAAAATACGAATGATCAACAATACCTTTAACAATGAGCATAATGCCCCTTTTTTTCAACCGTACAAGTTAGACCGGTATGCCTTCGTACGTTTTCCTCTAATCATGGGTTGAAAATAATTTTGACGAATTTAGATTAGAAAAATATATATTTTTAAGTTGTGTCAATTTCATATCGTATGCATGCTAGACTCAAATCAAAATAAGGGAATATAAAATCGAGATAAGTCTATCTCAATTTATCTTTACAACGAACTCCTTAACGGTGGAAAACAACCATGAAAAACAATTGTGAATATTAACATAGAAAGCATAAATGGTTAATTAGTGCTTTGGATATGAGGTCGAGGTTTGAGTTGTATAGTCCAAAACTCAAATATCGTTCAGAAATATAAGTATTAGATTGAACTATTTGTTCAAGTAGTTTCAAGGGTATTTTGTAGAAGACGTCAAAAATGAGTTTAATTTTAAATAGTTAATAATTAAGGTAGCACAGTAAATGCACGTAATATATATTTTTACCTTTTAAATCTTTTTTTTTTTGTGAGTTGATCTAATTAGAGTTAATTGTAGATAATCTTATCTTTGTTTTTTAAGTTAGACAACATTAAGATTAATATATTCTGATTTATGACTAACCAGTTTATTTGGTATAGTTAAATAATCCCAGTTATAATTAAGTGTCTAATATATAGTTAACGTCTAATCTATAGTTAACTAGAGGGTGATGTAATAAGTGTCACAGCGACGAAGACTCATGCACCCTTTGTATTGACAAATCAAAGTCCACCCCCAAATCAACACGATAACGTTCTAGAATGGATTCAAATTTTGCATTGAATCATTCAAACTTATTTTTCAACCACAGACACCTATTCACGCATTTATCCAGTCGGCCCGATGCCCAGCAGTATCAATATAAATACACATCTAACTCAATTGTTCATCATCAATCAAATTGATACTATCTGATATCTAGCTTCACCCTCAAAATGGTAAACAAATTGCTTTTCGTTCTTGTAACAGTGGCTCTTGTTACGGTGCCACAAAATGTGAGTGCTCAGAACTGCGGGTGTGCTGAAGGGTTATGCTGCAGCCAATACGGATACTGTGGTACTGGTACAGAATACTGTGGCACAGGGTGTCAGCAGGGTAATTGTACCACAACAAGTTCCCCAAGCAACAACGTTAATGTTGCTGACATTGTCACGGCCGAATTTTTCAACGGCATAATCGATCAAGCTGATTCTGGTTGTGTTGGAAAGAACTTTTACACACGAGATGCTTTCCTCAGAGCTCTCGATTCCTACACCGACTTTGGCAGAGTTGGTTCCGAGGACGACTCCAAACGCGAGATTGCAGCTGCTTTTGCTCATTTCACACATGAAACTGGACGTAAGATTGCTATTATAAATCCTTTTTAGTGTTCGCTACTGAAGATCAAATTTATATCTTTTTTTTATCTCATTCGTGTTCTAACTGGGAGATTGAATGCAGATTTTTGTTACATCGAAGAGATTGATGGTGCAAGCAAGGACTACTGCGACGAGGAATCGATTGCACAGTATCCATGTTCTTCCAGCAGAGGGTACCACGGTCGTGGTCCGATCCAATTGTCGTGGAACTTCAACTACGGACCAGCAGGGGAGGCCAACGACTTCGATGGATTGGGCGCTCCGGAAACAGTGTCGAACGATGTTGTGGTGTCTTTCAAGACAGCATTGTGGTACTGGATGCAACACGTGCGGCCTGTCATAAACCAGGGTTTCGGTGCAACCATCAGAGCCATCAATGGTCAACTTGAGTGTGATGGTGCCAACCCCTCCACTGTTCAGGCTCGCGTTAATTACTACCAAGAATACTGCAGACAATTGGGTGTAGACACTGGTGATAATCTTACTTGCTAAATAAAAGATATCATTTTTATTTGTATTTTTTCCCCTTAATAAAGAATTGAAGGCTTTGTTGCCTCATCAATCTCATTATTACTGTAATCGCTCTTGTGGAGTAAAATAAAAATAGCATCACTTTTTGCTTTTGCATTTTGATTTTTATTCTATTAATCACAGTACGCCATGAATATTTTGCACTTTATTGTATGAAGATGATATTTCATTTTATTGTAATTTACACAAAAGACAATGATATGAACAAAGAGAGAAATGGAACTGCAATTATTATTAAGAGGATAAGCCAAGAAAAATGGAGAGGGTAACGCCGAGGGAGTAGGCTCCGACGAAGGTGCCAATCAATTGAGGAGGGGGGCGAGTGACGGCGCCGATTCCGACAATCCCGGCAACGCCGACGGGGAGGCGCACCATCAGCGCTTTGGAGGCGGCGGAGACGACGGCGTCGGTGTATAGGTGGTAAGCCCATTGTTTGAAGAGGGGGAGTGGGAGGGTGTCGTCGTCGGGATTCGGAGGGAGGCGGCGGAGTGCGGCGTCGATTTGAGTGCGATCGGGTGGTGCTGGGACCCATTTTCGGAGGAGCGCGTGGGTGGCGTTGGCGTGGATGTAGTCGGAGGCGGTTTTGAGTTGGTACGGAAGCACTCCATGGAAAGCGTGCTGAGTGAGAGCGAGGCAGTGGGAGAAGGACGAGTCGCATACCGAGTCAAAATCGCCCGAGTTTGACAAACTATTCTCCACTCTCTTTGACGCCGATAACGATGACCCCATCTCTCTCCTCTCGACAATTTTCTTCAAGCTACCTTTTTTATTTCACACAGAAAAAATTGAATGAACAGCTGACTCATAAATACTCCAAAAAGTCAATGATACAGAAAAAATAATAATTTAAATTATGTCACGGTGATATTTTTTATTAATAATTATTCAGTTAAAGAAATTAAGCAGAACAAAACTAAGCTGCCAATTTTATTTTTTTAAATATTAAGGAAAAGTATATAATAAAGTTGGGAAAATTATATTTTGAGTTCTAGAGTTGGTTGAAAATGATTTTGAGAGTCTGTGAGAGGGTGGCGCTGTGTGGCTTTGAGCGGCGGTTCTCACCGTCAAATCTGAATTACAACAGACCGGTGACGGTATGCGGCCTCCGTTCAAGCTACAAGGCGCGGCGACGCACGAGGATACTCTCCAAAGAAAGCATTCAAGTCATTCACGCTCTTAAACTCGCCAAATCCCCCGACCACGTTCTCGACGCTAAACTCTCACGCCTTTTGAAACCTGACGCCTTAAACCTGTTCGACGAATTGCTAAGACAAAACGAACTCAGTTTATCCCTCAAGGCAACTAACACTGTCTCTTTCACTTTCAATGATCATGACTTTTTTTTTATCTATTTTTTTTATTTCAATTTGTACCGTAGGTTTTCAACTTCATTCGCGAGGAGGTGGGGCATGATACGCTGCTGCAACTCTACGCCGACATGATTCTGTTGCTCGGAAGAAACAAGAAAATCGACATGGCGGAGGAACTGTTCTCTGAAGTTTTGGAGAAGGGATTGAAACCGGACACGAGGATGTGCGGTGAGATGATTGGGGCGTATTTGCAAGCTGGGATGACGGAGAAGGCGATGGAGATATACGGGTCCATGAAGGAATGGGGTTGTTCCCCCGATAAGTTCATTTTCACTGTACTGATCACAAATTTAGAAAGAAACGGACAACAGCAACATCAACAACTGGTGGAGTCTCTCAAACAAGACTGTCTTCACTATGTGGAGTTCCCTGATAAATTCCTTCAACAACTTCAAGAAGATAAAGTAAGATTTTGCATATGCACTTCATTTGTGGGCATATTTTTTTTTTTTATGAATAATAATAATAATAATAATAATGATGATGATGATGATGTGTGTTTTCTTTTGTGTTCAGCCAAGAAAGAGACGTGTCGATCTTGTGTGAAATTTTGCAGCTTTTTCTTCAGGGTGGTGGTGTGGGCTCTTGTTTACACAAAATTAAACTTGAGTTGAAATCTCATGTTACGGTGATTATTATATGCTCATGGCATGTCAAAACCTTAGTAGTAACTTGTACCTCATAAATCTGATGATGCTTTCACGAGTTATTGGTAGTGCTTGTGATATTGATTTGAAAGTTGGAGTTTTTTCTTGAGAACAACGTTTATACACAGTAATATTAGGGTGTG